TTTGTCGTCATTAATGTTTTTCGTGCATATCTTCTCGAGCTGTTCGTATAATCGAGTTTTCCGATTTTTGCCTACACCTCCGCATATAGAGGAGTCGTTTGATTTATCTGATAGCCTCCCACGCTCCGTAGTCGAGCCAGAATAATTCTGCACGCACGCACAACGCGAAAGTGCCTGTTGTTGCGGTATATGCTCCGCTCGCTTCGCTCGCTCCGTAATTTTCATCATTTCCATCATCATCATGATGTTATATCCCCTCAAACGTAGCTGTTAGCTTCTCTTACACAGACTGGATATATCCAATATAGCCATCGAAATTGGCATCGCATTAAACACTACTCGCAAGTAGCAATCACCACTTCCAGCAAGGAAAGTATTTTCATCGCACTATAAAGGATTCTCTCAAAACACAAGTGACAATATATCACCAAAACCATAACCAATGAGGAAATATAAATTCTTTCCTGTGTTGAAATTGTCCTCGAAAAAGTTGATTCTTATTTTCCTCGGTCACATGAGCTACCAACATTTGCTGAAATTTTTTGGGAAAAATTTATTTTTCAATACACATTCATTTACGATAAAAATTTCCGACGAATTTCAAATAATTAATTTTTTATTCGAATTTCCTATACCATCCATCCAACAAAGCTCATCAGAAACCACATGCCCCCTCCAAAAAGATTCCCCACACTCACACAATATAACAAACACAACAAGACCACATAGTGTTCGCTCTAGACAGCGTAAACTCCCCTACTAACACAGGGCAGATGACAATGATAATAATAATAATAAGAATCCCATACGAATTCATTATTATAGCAGTTTCCTACTCAGTGGTATGCCTCCTAATCATATCTTCACGCCCAGCGCCAACACCAATCCACGACACGGGCACTCCCGTCCACTTTTCGATGGCCTCGATGTACTTCTGAGCGGCTGAGGGAAGCTCCTCGAAAGACTTCACCTGAAGAAATTGATACAAACATTAATGACTCGCTCCATTAATAAGTCGTATGTGAATTTCATAATGTAGTTTTGGAAACTTCTCAGCTCAGCTGAGGAAAGCGAACATAAATTCCTCCAACACTAGGCAACTACACGCGTTGCTGACAATGAGAAAATTTTCATTTTTTACCCCAAGTCATCGTGGCGAAATATGCACATGGTCAACCGCATATATCGGTGACAATATAAAAATTCTGGGAGATTTAGGGACGTACATTTCTACACGGATTCTTGAGGAAACTCCTAAGCTCAGCTGAGGAAAGCGAACATATTTTTCACACTACCCCAAGTCGCTTGAAAATTTTCATGATATGTTTATTACAGTGCTTATATCCTCACTCCAGCCCTCCATCTCAGTGTACACAG